ATTGTCTACAAAAACTTGCAGAGAAACAGTGCTGATGAGTAGGTAAGCAGGTCTGTTCAATTTCATCTCCATATACTGCTGTTAACAAGAATGTTATCTCTGGAGACACAAATCCACTGTTTGAGAACTGAAACTAAGCATCACAGAGATGCTTAATGGGATCTTCTAGACTGAGCACTGAGTCCCACTGGGTAGAGTGCTTTTCTTTAATCTTTACTAATCTATAGCAGAGCCTCTTGGAACCTCATAAGATTGGACTCATAATATAGTCCATGACATGTGACCTATTCATAAACCTTTTCTAAAAAGGTTACATGAATATATTGTCTCAAATAGTATATAATTAGAAGTTATCATCCCTATTCCACGATGATATCTTTAATCTTTAACATATCTTAAATTAAAACTATATTTATATAGGTTTGGGTTTTTTGGGTTTTTTTAAAGGCATCTTTAAAAAAAAAAAGATTAAATCTAAAATTTTGATTTAAATAAAAATCCAATTACATTTTTAAAATGATTGATTTTTATCCACTCTGGTTCAAAATTAAAAATACATCAATTTAAGTAAGTGAGAAACAGACAGTTGTTTGAAACAGTCCAACACTTGTTTCAGGCACTGCCAATGAAATAATTAGCTATATTCTCTTTTGCACTATAACTCTAATAGATGAGGTATATCTACATTTGATAGGTAAATTATTAAAAAGCAACCCCTTCCTCCCCCAAACATTTTTGCCAAGTACAAATAAACTTACTTGATTCATTCGGCTAACAATACTTAGCAAAGGAGGAAAGCCCATCTGAAAGAAAAGCCAGTTTGGAATTGTAACGTACAAATTAAAGATATTTCCCAAATAAGGTTTTAAGGTTTAAATTAGAACAAAGTCTGAACAGGACACACATCCATTTATTTTTTAAGCAATGTTTTTTCAAAACATCTAGTCTTAACTACTCATCTTCAAAATGCCAGGTAGAATAAATAATGGTAACAGCAATAATGTAGCAAAATAGTGAATTTAAAGCCTCTACATACTGGGTGAGGCATCAGATTTAAAAGGACCTAAAATTAATTTATTTCAGCTACTTTTTCAGATCTCACCATCTTAATTATATTCTGAATTTACAGAAACACTATTTTTTTTTGCTCTCTTACTGTTGTTTCAGGGGCATGGCAAGAGCATCACAAAAAACTTGGTTGGGCCCCAACACTTTTTCCTTTCTATGCATGCCTTCCAGGGCCTACTCTAGCAAAGCTCTTATTTATTGGTCAAGTTGTTTCGAGGGCTGCATCTGATCATCAAAACATTGAAGCTGGCTATGCTCCAGTACTGTTACATGCACAAAAGACAGCCTATAATCTTGTATCAATTAACAATAATCCGTAAGAGTTACTTTATCACACCTAAATTTGCAAATGAAGGTCCAAGCTCTGATTTATCTAGGGTCCCACTTTGTATAGTAGGGAATTAAATAGCAAGCTCATTAAGGAACCTGCTTTCAACCTGTCAGTTTTACTGACCTCAGCCCAAGTATACATCACAGTAGGGCAACTTCTGAAAGATTTTAATGAAGTATAATAACCAAGAACTAAGTAGCCTACCTGTATATAATCAATTCCTAGATTTTCATTATCTGCTACAGTAACTGTTTCTGAATATGCTTTTTCACCCAGACAAAACTTTTTCCAGCCTTCTTCATCTTCTGATTTTGGCTGAAAAAGTTAATGGGGATTAGTTTTCATAGGCAGCAAAAACAGTGAAAGACTCAAATCTCTTTAAAAAAAAAAAAAAAAAAAAAATCAAGAAAGAATGGATAAATTGTAGATCAGGATTTACAAGATTAACACAATTACTACAGCATGCCTGCCATCAGGATACATTAACAATTAAAAAAAATTGTTTCCTAAAGTGTAATAAAAATTCTACTGACCATTGTAACATTGCTGTCCAAATTCTGTGACTTCCAGTGATTTCTGTGCTTGTTCAGACTCTAAAGAATTAAAATAAAATGTGTTTATTGTTTATTTCACAATTATGTTATTTTAAATCAAAACTGTTTTCATCTTCCATGTACTTTAACAGTTCTTCATAACCATTAAAAATACCTGTTGAAGGATTGTATTTTAGGAAAATGTTAGATTTCACATTGTTGTGAATGAATGAATGAATAACTGGCCAAATATTTCATGCATTTCTTTCAATGTCATTCAGATTAAGTAGTAAACTCTGGTTAACAATCTGTAATGATCTATGGAAGGAAAAATACACAGATTCTTTAATCTACTTAAAACTTGATTCTAAGGATAATCAAAAAGATAGTAATTAAAGCAAGTTCCATCCATTTAAACTCAATTGCTGGACTGGAAAGAGAACATTTCAGCCTCAATTTTAAGAGTTCACCAACATGTTTGTATTAGTATTTGACCCAATACTTTCTGTTTTAGGACAAAACTTGGATTCTGTGTAGTTAACTACTTAATAATATTTCTTTTAATATTAAGGAATTATTTTGTCCCTTATGCTGGGTGAGGATAATTCTTTTTTCCAAGACTTTCTTTGGAACTCCATTTTCAGGGTAAATTAATTTTACAACCAACGAACCAACCACATGACCATATGATGGCAGAAAGCCCTCAAGAGATTTTCTAATGCAAAACTGAACTGCTTTATCTATTATTTTCTTCCATCAAATGTTAAACCCCACAAAACAACTAGATTATCCCTCTCCCCATAAGAAAAATTCCACCAAACTATACTGTACTAGTTTGTAAAAACACTGTTCTTTACCTGACGAACAGCTGAAAAGTGGGCCACTTGTTGCTGCTGCCATTTGAGAGTTGGAGAATATCCTTCAGGGGCAGGTTGGCATCCTGAGAGCTAATAAAGCACAGGCAATAACTGTTATGAAAAAAGGAGTAGAAAAAGAATCTAAGCTGACTGAATCTAAAATTAAGAATTTCTACTCGAAGCACGCAAAACTAACAAGAAATCAAGACAAGTTCTGCTTTGATATGGCTCCTTTCTGAGACTATGAAGTAAATCCTCCTAACCACTGAAGCCATAATTCTCAATAAAAACAGACCTTCATCAACAAGAAGGTTCCACATTCTTTACAAATTCTAAAAAATGTGTTTTGACTACTGAATGTTCAGATGTACTGAAGACATTTGCAGTGTTGCCAACTCTCATGATTTTTGGCATTGTTCTTAAAAGTCTACACTTTGGGAATGTGAAAAACTTAGCTCTTTCTTTTATAAATACATATATAATTTATTTTATACATATATAAAAGAAAGAGCTAAGTTTTTCACATTCCTGAAGCACAGACTTTAAGAACAATGCCAAAAATCATGAGTTGGCAACACTGCATTTTGTGTCCTAAATAGACCTGCTATATAAATTAAGGGGTATTATCCAGCCACAGTTGTCAAGAAGTAGGATGGGAGAAAAATTACACTTCCAGCTTACCACATACAGGCACCTGAATTTGTAATAAGAATTTGAGGGAAATACTGAAAAGTGCTTTCAAAGCAACGGGAATCAAGGACAACAAGAAGTCCTTCTTTAAGTAGATAGGGAACAGGAGGAAAAATGGGAGTGTGCGGTCACTGCTCAACAACTCAAGAGAGCTGGTTACCAGCACACAGGAGCAAGCTGAACTCCTGAATTACTACTTCGCCTCAGTTTTCACTAGACCAAGGGGAAAACCATGCCAGGCAGAGTAGAGGATGAGCACAGTAGGAATAATCATCTTCCTACTATTTCTGAAGAATTGGTATATGACCAATTAATAAAATTAGATGTATGCAAGTCAGCAGAACCAGATATCTTCATCTGAGAGTGCTGAAGGAGCTGGCCAAAGTCATTGCGGAATCCTTGGCAAAACTCTTCCTTTTCAACATCTTTATTAACAATTTGGATGTGGGGGTGAAGAGCTCACTGGCCAAGTCTGCGGATGACACCAAGTTATAGGGAAGCATGGTTACGCTTGGAAAACAGGCTGTAGTTACAGGCGGACCTACACAGGCTAGCAAGTTGGGCGGATTGGAACCAGAGGAAGTTCCAACGTTGAGATGTAAAGTGTAAAGTGTAAATGTAAAGTGCTCCACCTTGGGACAAGCAACCCCCAACACACCTACAGACTTGGTGGCACCAAACTGACTAGCACCATGAATGAAAGGAACCTGGGGGTAATAATAGATCACAGTATGAATGAGTCAGCAGTGTGATGCTGTAGCCAGTAGGACAAATAATACTCTGGCATGCATCAATTGATGCATCTCCAGCAAAGCCACAGAGGTGATTCTTCCACTGTACTCAGCACTGGTGAGACCGCAGCTGGACTACCGAGTCCAGCCCTAAACACCACACTTTAACAAGGACGTGGACAAGCTTGAGAGAGTCCAGAGAAGAGCCACCTGTATGATCAGTCTTAAAAGGCAAGCCATGCGAGGAAAGGCTGAGGGATCTAGGACTCTTTAGCCTGAGGTAAAGAAGGCTGAGAGGGGACTTGGTAGCAGCTTACTGCTACACTAGAGGAGTACATTAAGGGCTTGGTGAGCAACTGTTCACCAGGGCACTCGAGGGGAAAACCAGGAGTAATGGCCATAAACTCCTGGAAGACTGATTCAGGCTCAACATTAGGAAAAACATTTTCAGTCAGGGTGTCCAGACTGTGGAATAAGCTCCCTCCAGAGGTGGTGCAATCACCTACCCCGGAAATCTTCAAGAGGAGACTAGGGACTTGCTGGGGTCACCTGACTCCTAGTTGTATTTCCTGCTTGGTGCAGGGAGCTGCACCTGATGATCTTCCGAGATCCCTTCCGGCCTTACAATCTATGAATCTTCCCCACTGTGTGAGCCACCCCAGCCTGGCCAGGCGGCAGCAGTGATAGCTTCAGCCTTCAGCAGCAGGGAAAAGCGTAGAGGAGACCATGCAGTAGCAGGGAACTGCTGCAGTTCCAGCCCAAACATGGAGCTGCCTCTATCGCTCCTGCTTATCAGGGTTGAAGTCAGGCAGTAGAGGAGCATAACAGACAAATGGTGGGGGAGTGGGCAATGGTAGGGAGGCAGGGACTAGAGGGCATAAGCATGGGGTGGAAGGGAGGGGGGGCAAGGTGTCGTGGAGGTCTGACCGTCTGCCTCCTTGCTACTACTTTTCTCCCCACAGCAGTGGGAGCGACAAATTTAAGCTGACCCTCCAATAATCAGATGGTATACATTCAAAATTATATCAAATGTATTATTTCCCCTGTATAGAATCTAGTTGCTGGGACATCATCTAAAATTCAAAGTCATTTTGGATTAGGGTAAACACAGTAGTAGAAAGCAATGCTTCTTCACTCATAAGACGACAGACTAGGACAACTTAAAATAAATCATAGAAACTGATTATAAAAAAGCTGTACAAGTGTCCAAGATTGTACTCTGCAAACAAAAGACAGTGCTGGAGTAGCACTTATCAACACAAATAGAGATATGATATAATTGTGTCGTAACTGTTTTGTAATAAGCCTTTCTACATTGCTTATAAACAAATGCAGTAAATACTCCAGTAAATATGGTAACTTTTCCACAATTTTATTGTATTTCTATACACCAGATGTAACTGCCAGCTGAAGGTATATTTTATTTGTAACTTCAGCTGGCAGTTACATTTGGTGTATAGAAATACAACAAAATTGGGGGAATGTTACCATATTTACTGGAGTCTACAGTGACTCTGAACATAATTGGTTATAATTTTCCAAGTACAGGATCTAATTATCGGAGGTTCATCTTTCACTCATCCCCACACTGCTTCTACAGGGGAGTAGGCAGGAGGAGGGCAAGTGGTGTGGGAAAGTCAAGAAACTTGCCCCCCCCGCAAGCCTTTGCTCTCTGCTTCCCCTCCAACCTCTGCTCCAGGCCAGCAGGCTCTGTCCCCATTCTAGCCTGGGGCATTGAGCACAACCACAGTCTGGTCCTGTAAGACCAGCCATGCTGGTAATGTGCCACTTCTTTGTGACCAGGAAGGGCTGTGCTCAGTGCCCCAGGCTGCAGCATGCACAAAGCAAGAATAAGGGGGGCAAGTAAAGGTGGGGATGGAGAGTGGCAGGCGTAGAACCAGAGGCTGCATGGGGGACAGAGATGGGGAGAAGAGGCTGCAGGGGAGGGAAATGATGGGATACACAGATTACGGAGGGGGTGGAAGGACAGGCAGCAACTATGGCCCCGACTCCAAATATGGGCTGGAGAAGGGATGGGCAATTATGTGGGCTAGAGGGCCACTTAAGGAATTTTGGCAAGTTTGGCAGATTGGTGGGGGGTGCTAACCCAGCATAAAGAG